AAAGAAAACTATAAAAGACTAAGAGAAGATACAGGAATTTTTTTTACAATATTAATTATTTTTATAATACTAGTTAGAAATATCATGATAAAAACCCCAAAAACTATAACAGAAAAGATTAAACAGATTTGACTAGAAAAATAGACAAGCAAACAAAAAACCAAACATTTCTATACAGTGATGGGTACCGTAGACAGTATTACCTAATGGATGAAAATATATGCAACACAATAGAAAAGGGTTATAATATGCAAAATAACAAATAACTTCTAGAAATCAATACAAAAAAGAGAAGCAGCAAAATGAGAAAATGGGCACAGGATATGAAGAAGTGATTTTTCAAATGAAGGAATATGTGCTAATAAGCATATGAAAACATACTCAGCTTCATCAAAGATCAGAGTGAAAATAAGAACAAGAGGTCATTTTTGCTTATTAGATTGGCAAAGAAGTGTTTTAATATAAGGTGTTTGTGTGTATAAAAAATAACTTTCCAGAGAAGGGTATAGCTCAGTGGTAGAGTGCGTGCTTAGCATGCATGAGGTCCTGGGTTCAATCCCTAGTACCTCCATTAAAAATAATAATAATAATAAAAACTTTCATACTCAACAGATTGGAGTATGAATTGACAAACATTTCTGGAAAATAATTTACAGTACCTATAAATATTAAAAATGCATCTATACTTTGACCATGTATTCTCACTACAAGTAGTCTATTTTACAGAAATACTTAGTGTGCAAAAATATATTTATGTATGTCTATTATAGTATTATTTGTACAAGAAAAAGACTTGACTCCACCACACCATTTATGAATAGGGGAATGGTTAAATAAATTGGGAATATAGACACTGTGGAATTGTGAAATAATAAATAACTTAAACCAGGGAGCTATGCATCTGTTGACATAAGAAGAGTGTTCATGATATATTTTTGAGTGATAAGTGCAAATCAGAACAATGTGTACGGTATGTGCTCCGAAAAGGGGGGAAGGAGGGTAGAAATCTACGTATCTTAAAGGATATGCAGACTAGTGACATTGCTAGCCCTTGGGGTGGGGATCTTCCACTTTTAACTTTGTACACTTCTCCTTGTCCCTTTGTATATCATTTTTATAATTACAATTTCTTAAAAAAGTAAAAGGACACAAGTCAAGAGAGACTGAAAGAAAAACCCAATGTGGACGTTGGCCAAAGCCGAGGGGTTGAGGGATGGATGGGCAGAGGAACAAAGGCTTCTTGAAGACTCGCTGAGGCAAATCCAAAGCCATGAGTCACTCCTTTGGAGTTCCAATGGCAGAGGATTGAGTTGTTATGACCTGGAACCAGGGTTCTTCTTGGAAATTGTCCAAGAAAGAGGAAAACTTGGGGTGAGAAGGGAAAGGATAACCTTGCTGGCCTGAGGGCAAAACATGTTGAAAACACAAAAAACAAATAATGTCCTTTGGCTGAACTTTCTTAGTCTGTACAGGCGCTAAATATTAGGTGATCTTTTTGCTGCTTCAGATTTTTTTTTTTAGATTAAAAACTTCCCCTTCTCAGAAGCTGAAATGAGTATGTACATAACAGAAGTGGGTTTTTTTTTTTTAAGGTTACATGTCACCATGTATTCTAGGAAGATAATTCTAGGTTCACTCAACCTTAGTTATGCCAACAGGAAGGCAAATGGCCCCGGTGTGTGTTATAGGTGTGCAGGCTATCACTCATTCAGGATGCCTGCATTCTTCCTTCTCTGAGTGTATTAGCATTTTCTGTTGACCAAGAGTAGATTTGTCACAGATCTGATTACTAGGGAGATGGAACATCTTCTTGTGTGTTTATTAACCATTTTTTTAAGTACTGCCATGTGTTACTTGACAGAAAATTTTATTTTACCTCGTGAATATAGCTTGTATTGCAAAATTCCCCATATGATTGTATATTACTTATCTTTTAACAAAAGCCCACCGGTGCTGCTTTTGGATACCACCCTAGGGAGGAAAAGGAATCTTGTCGTAGACCCAAACCCACTATTCAAAGTAATCTTGAGATTCCTTTGGGTCACAGCATAGGAATGAGCCAAAGGCAAGTTCAAGCATAATTCCTATTGGTTGTAGTCTGAATGTTTTTGCTCAGATCTTCCCATTTGTGGGACTGGCCTTGCCTGGAGTGGAGCCTGAGACATGGGTCTGCTGGTGCAGGGAAATGGTGCATTTGTTTGCTAGGACTGCTGTAACAAAGTACCTCAGACTGGCTGGGTGGCTTACAACAGGAATTTATTGTCTCACAGTTCTGGATACTAGAAGTCTGAAATCATGGTGTCCGCGTTGATTCCTCTGGGGGCTGTGAGGGGAGAGTCTGTTCCAGGTCTTTCTCCTGGGCTTATAGCTGGCCGACTTCTCCCTATGTCTCTTCACATCGTTCTCCCTCTGAGTGCATTTGTCTTCATGTCCAAGTTTCTCCTTTTAAGGGTACCAACCATATTGGATCAGGTCTCTCCCTCATGACTCATTGTCAAGACCCTACCTCCAAATGAGATGACAGCTGAGGTAGTAGGGGTTAGGACTCCAACAGATCTTTTATTTTTTTAGCACGGTAGTGAGGGAGGCAGGGACAATTCAACCACAACAGAGGGCATAACAATGAAGTAAATGGTAAAAGTGGGGTCAAACCCTGACTCTCTGGCTAGTTACCCGGGATTTTTTTTTTCAATCAGACCCTACTACCTCTGCATTCCAGGCTGCCTTGCTGCCTCTTTCCCCAGGGTCCTGTTGATACCTGTGCATTCCTCTAACATAATAATTAGGTAATTGGGCATTCATCTCACTGGTGAGACTTAAGCACACCCTGTGAGCAGAGGCTGTGTCTTTTGTTCCTGCGTCTAGCTCAGTGCCTGACCCAGACAAGGTGAATGAATGAATGACAACATCCATCTCTTAGCACGCTCCAGTCCACACTGCCCTCTGTCCTCCCGATTGCACAACTAAATAAGTGAATCTAGACTGACCCCTGTGAAACAAAATGACATAAACACTTGAAAATTTAAAAAATCCTTTGTAAGTGTATCGTGGCACACTGTGGACAGCAGCTTGTAGATGGGATGGTGGACTAAGGAAATCCAACACAGGGGAGTCCTTATTCGCAGCTACTTCATAAGCCAAGCAAGTTCAGCCAAAGGATACTGCGCCCTACTTACATCAATAATGAACTTTAGATTTAAAGTCTCTGTTAAAAATTACAGTTAGAGAAAGTGGAAATACTTCTGTGGAGATTATTCTATGGTTAATAAATAGAGTTCACAAGGAAGGCCTAAGGGAGTTGTGTGTTTTTAAAAACCGGACAACACAAGTCAGAGGGCAACTTAATAACAGTCTTCAAGTGGAAGCACAAGGTTGTTGATGAGCTTTGCTGTCTCTGCTGAAGACAGAACAGGATAGCTTATGCCACAGCATGCAAGAGTTCCGCTGACTATGAAGGAAGTATTTCCCAATAGGATACTAAATATTGGAATGGCTTGGATTCCAATACAAGCTGTGGTTTTACATTTTTCTATCATTTAAATGAAAACTCCTAAAATACACCAAGCCAAGCTATTTCACTTACTAGCCATGAGATTTTGGAAAAGTTACATCATATCACTGTTTCCTTACTCATCAAATGGGCTTAATTATAACTCATAGGGTTATAGGAGATTGAATATGAAGCATGTAGCACAGCTCCTGGCTCATTGTAGGCACTCCAGAAATAGCATTAATAATGAACATGAGAGCAGATATTTATTACTTATTTATTACATGTCAGACACCAGTCTAAGCACTTTACTTATGTGCTATTTCATTTTGGTTTCACATGATCATTTAGGGGGTAGGAGTTTTTATTTCCATTTTACAGGAGAGAAAATTGAGGCAGAGGAAGATTAAGTAACGCCCCAAACCACAGAATCAGTAAGTGACAAAGCTCCAATACAAATCCAGACAGTCTGTCTCCAGAGCCTGTTTCTAGTCACTAAGCTAGCAACCTCTACATGTTTATAGCAACTAAATATTAGCTCTTTTAAAATTAAAAAAAATTGGCATGTTTAAAAATTCACAGCCTAGTGGTTCCCAATCTTCCCACATCCTTTTTATTATCTTTTTCTTCCATGTTTTGAATGGTTTTATTTACTAAAATACTGCAATGATAAGTAATAATTTATTTTTCATTGCTATTAATCAAAGAAATATGTAACAGAGCTCCAGATCAATATGAAGTAACAGCGTGATCTTATAAAACTGTTGTCAAAGGCAGAACAGCTTGATGTTTTGGTTGGCTCATGCAGCTCTACCATCACACACTTTGCACCAGACTTTCTGAAATACCTGTAATGATTAATTGGCACTCTTCCTTCTACTACAAAGTTCACAGAAGTTAATATTCTGTGATGAGTCATCTATGGTGCTTATATATGAATTCCCTCCACTGAAACATGATAGTAAGTATGTAGGTTTCCTCCCACAAATGATTCCTCCATAGGATTAAATGCATTCTGAAGACAGATAGATATACTACATTAGTAGTTCTCAAATAATGTGGTCAGTAATTTTGGCTAAGTCTAGTTAAAGTCCAGAATGTATTTTCAAAATATATATTCCATTATTAAATGTTAAATGTAAATGTTTTAGATTAGGAGCCCAAATGTCAAATCATTAGACATAGGTGAGTGTGAAAGGGTTATCTGCACCTGGAGGCTAAGATGGACCAAAGAAATGAGAATCTGGAATTAGAACTATCCACTGTGCGTGTGTCTGTGTGTGTGTGTGTGTGTGCAATTGTACAGGGGGCAATTATGGGAAAAAACCAACCATGGTGTGCTAGTAAACCACATTTCAGGGGGAAATTAATCCCTGATTTGTAGCAGTTGCCAATTTCCATGTTACTAATACTCCTACCACGGCCCATTTCAAGCTACCAACAATTTGACAACATTATATATTTATATTTATCTTTTTGATTTTTAATATATTTTTGTTTTGTTTAACAGTTGGCTCTATCAAGCCAGCATAAGTCTGCTCCATCAAATCTCTGGAAATAAACGAACTTGTTTATCAGCAGTCTCGGGATACAGCCTGGAAATGCTGTTAAAGAGAATGAGTGTCTGACAGGGCAGCTGAAGGAGAATGTCAAGAAGACATAATTTTTAAGATGAAGTCTAAGACTGAAGACTTATAGCCAGAAATGATTTTGAGCCAAGGAGGCCACAAAGAGAAGAAATTTTGAAAGATACCAATCTCGCTGCCAAACTGGGAATGAAAGATTTGGATGCAGGGGATCCCAGAGTGATGACTGCTTAGACAAGAAGGGGAAGGGTGGAAGATGCTGCAGTACAACTAGGTAAGGATCTGCTCAACTCAGACTAGAGGTGTTTCTGTACCAACAGAACACATCCTGTCTTCTAGAGCCAGCTAACAAGACAGGTGCTGAGGAATAGGAAGCAGAGTGGGGATTTTGTTCCAAGAATTCTAGTACATGGTGGGGAAGAAGGGGAAAGCATAGTTACTAGGGCTCAGACATAAGATGAACCCAAACTAGCAACACTACTCAAAACCTGCTTCTCTGAAAGAGCTACTTAAGTCCAAATGTGAAAGGATTCCACCAAGCATCCCCTTTTGCCAGTAAGCCATGGGCAGGATAGCAGATGGTCTACAAATAGCGGTCAAGTGCTTGCAGCCATGAGCAGGAAAGGGCCACCTCAGGGCAGGGGATCAGGTAGGACATTACACTAAAGAGTAAATGACATTGGTTATGAAGAGTTCAGACATTTCAGTATAGTTCTTGTCTGGAAAATCAATCCACATTTAGCTTCTCACAGGCTGGTGACCAAACTCTCTAGGCTACCCCTGATCTGACAGTACAACCCTTCCCCTGCCACCCATCATATCAGGACCAGATTTCTGGGGAGGAGAGGAGGAAGCATGAGGAAGTGGAGATGGTGGACATAGACCACTCCTTCTAATAGCTTGAAGGATAGAGATGGAGCTAGAAAGAAATGAGACCTAGAGGCTTGAGTGAAGGAGAAAAAGAATAATGACGTGATGACTTCCATGAATTCTGATCAAATTTAGGAATATGATTGCATTTATATGGGGTAAAGAAAGAGCAGAGAAGTAAAAGCTAAAAGACTAGACATAGAGACATCATCTTTTAGCGCTCCAGTATGCTGTAACATCCTACCTGAGAAGGGATGATTCAGATGTCCAACTGCTTCTTTTCTCCCTCTTTTATAATAACCAAAATGTAAGGCAATTATATTAGTGTATTGGTGTCTGGCTTCCTCTCTGCAGTGACACACAAAGTGTTTCTCTCCAGCAAGATCACTAGAGACTTGTTATTTGACAGATTCTGTTGACAGTGTCCACTCCTTGTCTTCCCTGGTCTCCTTGAGTCATCTGACACTGTACTCCTTTTGTGAACACTCTACTTCCCTGTGCTGTCACTCTGAGCTCTCATCCAAGCTCTGGGATTGCCTCTTTCCAGTTTCACACTGAGGCATCTTTCTTTTCCTGCCTTTTAAATGTTGGTACTCCTAGTGTTCTGTCCTCAGTCTTTTCACTCCTGCATCTGTATTTTTAGATCATCTCCTCCATGCATGTTATTTCATTTGCTGCGTATATCGTGATAACACCAGTATCTATATCCACTCACAACTCTGTCCTTGGCTCTAGACTTCAAGATCCTAAATCTGTATCATTATGTCCCACAAACAACTCCAGGTCCATAAGTCCAAAATCAGAACTCTCCAATAACTTTGAAAGCCTTTGGAGTATAGGAGTTACATTGCATACCTTTTTTAATAGCCTCAGTGCATGGAGCATTAAGCAAATGTTGTCAAATGACAACGTGGCTGGGTATTTTTAACAAACATATGTTTAAATTTCATTTCTATATATTTTACTGAGGTATAATTGGCATTCAATATTCCAGTATCTATGCTATGTTCCAATTTCTGTCACTGTACTAGTTTCCACTTTCTATAATTTTATATAAATGAACTCATACATCGTATAATTTTTTTGGCCTGTCTCATTTTACTCAGCATAGTTATTTTAATTGTTCTTATGCTTCATGTATCAATAGTTCTTCCCCTTTTACTGCTGAATCATATTCTATTACATTGATATACTGTCACTTGTTTGTTTCTCCCCCATTGATGGACCTGTGTGCTGTTGCCATTTTTAGCTTTTTCAAATAAATCTGCTATGAGTATTTGTAAGAAAGTCTTTGTGTAGCATATGCTTTCATTTCTCTTGGGTAAATAAATAAGAATGGAATTATTATATGGTAGATATATTTGACTTTATAAGAAACTGCCAAACTTTCCCCAAAGTTTTGTATGTTTTACCTTCCTACAAGCAGACTCTGAGGTTCTAATCCCTCCACATCCTCAGTAACATTTGGTATGGTCAGTAGTTTCAATTTTAGCCATTCTAAAAAAATGTGAGGTGGTCTCTCACTGTGGTCTTAATTTGCATTTTCTTATTGACTAATGATGTTGAGCATGTTTTTATGGTCTTATCCATCATTCGTGTACCTTCTTTCGTAAAGTATCTGTTCATTTCCTTTGCCTGTTTAAAAAAATGTGTTATCTTGAGAGTTCTTTAAATATTCTGAATATAAGTTCTTTATCATATACATAATTTGCAAATATTTCCCTCCAGTCTGTGGCATGTCTGTTTATTCTTTTAACTGTGTCTTTTGAAGAGCAGAAATTTTTAATTTTTGTGAGGTTCAGTTTGTTCTTTTATGGATTGTGCTTTTGGTATCACATTCAAAAAAGTCTTTGCCTTACCAAAGGTCACAAAAATATCCTATGTTTTCTTCCAGCAATTTTACTGGAAGATTTTACAGTTAGATCGATGATCCATTTTGAGCTAATTTTTGTGTATGGAAAGAGCTATGAACTGAAGTTCACTGTTTTGCATATGGATATTTAATTTGTTCAAACACATATACAATTTCAACAAATTACAAAGGAGTCTGTCCTTGTAAATCAGTGGAAGCCTGACTTTAAAAATTTGTAATCAAAAATAATATGTATATAGCCCAAACTACCTCCTTGCCTGATTTTTTAAAATGTATTTTTACTTATTCTATTTTCAAGGTATCTCATTAACTTTTTAATTTTTATAGTAAAGGAATAAATTGACATTTGTACCTTGTGTCCCATTGGCTTATCAGCTTATCAAGTTTGATCTGGATTGTTCCTAGGCGTCTCAGGGTGGGAGAGGAGTAATGGGAAGCAGGGGAGGTATGAACTAGGGATAAATGTGCCTAATTGATACCTCATTAAAATGCTCATAACTCTGAACTGACACATTTGCGAGCCTCTGGGATTATTGCATGAAGCATCTTTTCTGTGTGGCTTTTGACCCAGGCGAGAATGGAATACTTCTATCAGTATGTCTATGTCTGTGTATTTTATTAGGAGTCAGGAAGAAGACAGCTGATTTCAAATCTTGTTTATTTCAGTTTAGTAGAGAGAGAAGTCCTGGGACAAACCCATCTTCCCTCTTTGGAATGGCCCACCAGAGCTTAACAGAAAATGACTCAAATACCTGTAGTGGTCTGTGAAGTCCTGAAGCATTCTTGGGCTGGAGATGACAAACGGGCATTCTTGCCTGCTCATGCAGCTGAGAGGAAACTTATTGTGGGTATTGGGAAGTATCCTCTCTTTTTTGACCATTTTCTAAAAAGTATCCACTTTTTAAAATGAGACATGGTTTATCAGTAGCATCCTAAGTCATCTTCTGCAGTTCCCCTTCTGGTACTTTCTTCTCCTTTCTAGTATCCAAGGCTCATGCTTTCAATTGCTGTCTCCCTTCCTCAAATCTAAACCTGCCCATGACTGATGATTAAGTCTGAATGTATTATTTTAACAGGGATACTTGCACATTAGTGGAGGACCAAAGCTTAGCCAAATGACTTTCTAAGATAGGAATGCTAGGGCTCACTGAGCCAGTAGAAGATGTCTATCTTTGGGTAGACATTTAGGCTAAGTAGTGGGTATATGTAGATACTGTGTTACTTCCAAGCATTCACTTCCCACTATCCCATTCTTCATAGTCCCCAGTATCTTTAGGAAGCTATGACGTTCCACAAAAACTGAATCCACCTCTAAATTAGCTCTCTCGATGCCGCTGGCCCTTGAGATTGGACCACAGATGGGACTAGGACATGAGTTATTTCAATGAGAATGAATCTCAGGACTTGTGCAGAAACTATCAGAAGTTTCTTCTCTATTTCTCCAAGCCCTGGATTGTAAAATTGTAAGGGCTGAAATTGCTGCCACCATGAGAGAAAAGCTTCTGTTTGAAACTTGGAAATGAAGCCAACACTGTAGATGGCAGAAGGGATATTCAATGAGAAAGCTTCTTGGAGATGGAATTGAGCGGCTAGGTCAAACTTCACTTGATTACTTCAAGGCTGTTCCATCGTGTGAAAAAGTGTATTTCCTTTTTCTTTAATGCCTGTTGCTTAACTAAAGGAAAGCTACAGTTGGGTATTTTAAGGTTGCAAGGAACTAAGATCTGTTCGGCTTTCCTCAGGTTTATTAGGATACAGCAGAACGCCTCAGTATGTCTCCTGAAAAACTGAAAATCGGTTCAAGAAATAGTTGAGCTTTAGCAAATTTAATTTTTTGAAACGCCTCAGAAATTAATATCTAACCCTATTCTGGTGCTCTGCTAGGTTGGTGCTCTACCTGCTTTCTGCTCCAAATGCTACTAGTTACCTGATTCTCTTCTGTTTTGTGTCAAAGTCAAATCTTAGGTCAGGTCAGCCAGTTAGTTGCAATTCCAAAATCTCTCAAACATTACTGGCTGCCTGGTCCACTCCACTCTGGCACAGATAAGATGGAGTGTTAAAAAGCATGGCAATCAACGAGGGGTAAGGAAATCTTCAGCGGTAGGCTCTGGGAGTGGAAGTCACTCCAAGCTTTCGCAGGAGGGAGCCTGTTGGGCACCACGCATAGGCTTTGCTAGACAGTGTGCTTCCTGGAATCTCAAAACTTGTGATGGGTCCTGTGCAAGAGCTGAAGGAGCCAGGGAGCTGAGAGTTGGCAGGGATCTGACCATGAGTCTGTAGGAACTTCTGGAAAGATCTTGTTGGCAATTCCTATGTAGTCATATAATGAAAGTGTTAAAACACAAATTTGACAAAAATCGCATGGGGATGTAAATGCCAAGGTGATGTAGGTAGGGCCCTGGAGTGTCTCATCTGACTCTATCAACCAACTTTCCTGTCCTTGGCTTCTGGTTGGATTCAGTCAAGACGGAGCCATTGTAAAAGATGGAAGAGATGGAAGGGAGTAATATTGGACTATTTATGCCCCTGGC